GGGGAGAGGCAGGGAGGAGCCCGGCCCCGCTCCCTGCCTGGGAGGGAGAAAGGCCAAAGCTCTTGGCAGGGGTGGCTCAGGAATCCCGTTCAGAGGCTGAGGTGATGCTCTAATTATAATCCAGGAGAGCAGAGCTGCAAGACTAAGGGCAAAGGTATGCTGGGCACGACGTGAGAGGTGCCTCTCCTCGTGGATGAGTAACAAGAATGAGCTAGAACAGGCTGGAAAGAGCTGAGCTCTTCTCCTGAGGATGACGTGATGTGCAGGATGAGGCCACTCCTCCTGGGGAGGGAAATAAAAGTCGCGGGCAGCAGGACCGGGGCAGAGCGCTCCCAGCCCGAGAGCCACAGCAGCAGCAGCAGCAGCAGCAGCAGCAGCAGCAGCAGCAGCAGCAGCAGCGATGCTTTGCCGATTGCACTTCTCACCCTCCGCCACCCTGGCCAGCCGGCTGGGCACCATGAGGACCCTCTGGCCATACTCAGAGTCCATCTTCACCGAGATGCCGACGGTGGAGAAAATTCGGGAGTTCATGAACAGCTTCGAGCAGCTTCTGAGCAGCCAAGGAGCCGCCGCTGCGGAGCGAGCCCCCAGCACGGGCACAGCCCTGACCCAGGGCTCCGGCGAGGGCTTCTCCGTCTGCCAGGACGTGAAGGACTTTTCCCCCGAGCAGCTGTCGGTGAAGGTGGTGGGCAGGAAGGTGGTGCTGGTGGGGCAGAAGGAGACGCAGAGCACCGACGAGACGGGCTCCTTCTCCTACAAGTACGAGGTGCTGAAGCGGGAGTGGGACGTGCCCGAGGAGGTGGACGCCGAGGCGCTGACCTGCTCCCTGTCCAAGGAGGGGCAGCTCCGCATCGAGGCCCCCAGGCTGGCGCTGCCGGCCGCCTCCGAGAGGAACGTGCCCATCCAGGTCAACCCTGCAGCCCCACAGCCCGGAGCAGCCTCTGAGGACGGAGCCACCAGCAAAGCCCAGGAGTAACGGGGGGGAAGCGATGGCCCACGGCAGGACCGGAACAGAGAGCAGCAAGTCCTGGGTGTTAGCCCAGACAAGCTCCATCAATAATGATATCACTTTTTTCACTATACTGGAATGTTTTTGTATCCAATAAAATACTTTTGCATAGAACCTGCTTGTGTTCTCTTGGTGTTGACTGATGGGGAGGTTGGGCCCTGGTCTCAGCTCTCGGTGAGCACGGAGAGGGAAGAACCTCTCTTGGCGCCTCAGGGCAGCACAAAACGGGGCCGACAGCGGACCCAGAGGTAGGGAAGGGATCTGCGAGCTGCTCAGGGTGGGGGGAAGCAGGAAGCACCCCAGCGGGGACGGGCAGCCCCCCTCACTGTACTGGAGCAGAGGCCGCTCTCCCAGGGAACAGGCAGCTGCTTCACCCCCTCCTTGTGCCACTGCCAGCGGCTGCCCCAGCTCCACAGCCCCTTGCTACCGGCCGGTGCCGCTGCGTGGCAGGGTGGCAGGCTGGACGGCCTGGCCGGGTGCAGGTTGCCCCTGTTGTAGCCACACTTGCCCTCCACAGAGTTTGGAAGGGGCTGCTGGAGCCCCTCAGAGATCCCAGCAGGCAGGAGGGTGAAGCCCAGCTCCAGGCGCTGCCTGTAACCACAAAACCAGCCCCGCAGGCCCGGGCAGGCAGCAGGTACGCGGGCAGCCACACCTGAGCCGGAGCTGCTCGGAGCTCGGGCAGCCCTCGGCCGCCGCAGCCCGGCGGCTCCGGGGAAGGCGGCTGCGGCCCGGCCCCGCGTCCCTCCCGGGGCAGCAGCAGGACACCCCCGGGGGCAGCACAAGATCCAGAGCCCTGGAAGGACCCAGAAACGCTGCCCTGACAAGCAGGACCCACGTAAGAGGAGCCAGCAGATGGCAACAGCAGCGCGCCTTGGTTCAGCGCGGACTGGCGGAGCCCTTCGCCCACGGGCTGCCCGGGGAAGCCAGCAGCACCAGTCGGAACCACGCTGGGAGCACGGAGAGGAGCCCCGCGGGCAGAGGGCAGCCCAGCTCCCAGCAGGGGAGGGCAACCAGCGGCCCCGGCGGAGAGAAGCCCCTGCGAGGCCACTGGAGCCCAGCGCCGCCGCCAGCCCGAGCTCCAGCGCGTCAGGAACTTCACCACCAAGATGCTCCGTCCCCTTCCCGCTTCCAGGACTCCGAGGAAATTCAACGTGGGCAAAAGGCAGCAAGCCCTCGGGATGGAGCCCGTGTGAGGCAAGGCCGTTCACGCTTTACTCTGTTACCCAGCAGAGGCTCCAGAGCCCCAGCCCAGGGCCGGTCACACACCACAGACGGCGGCCACGCCGAGGAGAGGCAGCGGGTTCAAGCACCATCACAAGCCCCGAGCTCTCCCGGGCACACACGCAGCCGTGCGCGGGACCGACTCCAGGCCTCACCGCTGGGCAGCAGCGAGGGGAGCAGCATCCTGCAGGGCCAGCGCCCCTCTGCCCACCTGGGGCCCACCCAGCCTGGCCCAGCCTGCCCCGCTGCCCAGCCCACCCCGCAGGTTGTTGTCAGACACCCAGTAACTCCCACCCTTCGCCCCAAGCCGCCTCCTCGCCGGCCGCTGCGAGCACAGAGTCAGCGGTGGGAAGGGGGGACACGAGCCATCCCAGTGCAGAGCCAGGCTCCGGGCCACGCTCCTCCTTTGAGCTGATTAAGAAACATGAACATTGTTAATGATGATAGGTTTATAAAAATTTTTTTTTTAATCACACAAAACTGAAGTTTGTGATGAAGACTAAGTTGACAGTTCCTCTTAAATACCAGTATGCATAAGACATTGCATTAGGCACTAGGCAGCAGCCAACATCAGTTAGAGTCTGGCAACAGAAGCCATTTTAATACCTCCCTTCACACTTTGTGGAATTACAGGCTTTTGCAATACATATTGTTTCCACTGACAGGTTATCCGAGGTCTCCCCCACCCCACCTCTGTACATCAGTAAACCATGTGTATTCACACTAGAGTAGGGTTAACAACATTAGTGGCATCACAACCATCAAAAAAAGGACAATTTTCTATACAAGATTTTTGCAAAAGTTGCAACAGGATTAGTGCATTACGACAGAACCGGAGATAGAAAAAAAAAAAAAAAGAGTTGGCATGCTAGAGTCCAACACAAATAAAGACAACAGGCAGCTAGTTGTAGGTACTATATTGACAAGATACTGATTGGTTACATGAAGAAACATACAATACAAAATACAGAAGAAACCAGTTTTGCTTCCCTCTGCCCCACCCCAGAATACTCATGATCGATTTGGTCAATAAGTGGCTGAAAAGCCCGGGCTTGTCACTATAATGCTACAGTTTAGTGGTTGTCCTAGGCATGTCGTACTGGTACTAGCCTTAGCTTTTACAGAAGGTGATTTTAACCAAGGTTGTCTAGTCTCAATATCCCTTTGTTTCCAACAGTGAACTACAGTACTGTGGGACCTGGGTGCTGCTGCCCCCCGCGGGAAGGGGCGGGCTGCCTGGGCAGGCACCAGGTCGTGCATCCACCACCACCACAAGAGGGAAGAGCAGAAGTTCATATATTAAAAAAGTGACTTAAGACTTAGAATTGAATTAGTATTTGTACAGAAAGGTGCAGGTGGAAGAACTCCCTCCAGCCTATGATCAGAAAGGGATGGAGAAATCACAGCAGCCGCCGGCAGCGGCCGCTCTACGGTAAGTGCGATTGTTAGCATGGATTCCAGTCTCGGCCCGAGGGCTCCAAGGCCGCTCAGTTGCTGCAGCACTGGCTCCTGCTAGGCTGGCTGCTCTCCTGAAGGTCCACCACCCGATTCCTCCCTGGGCCGCCAGGAGCGTTCTGGGGTTCGTTTTTTGGCAGTTTCTTGGCTGGAGAGGAAGGAGATGTTAGCAGGCTCCTCCTCAGAGGCCGCGCTCAGCTCCTGCAGAGGGGGCTGGACAGGACCAGCAGCACCGGCACAGCAAAGCCACCCCCCCCGAGTCCCACCCTCACCAACCCCGCACCCTGCGGACTCCCCAGGCCCAGCTCAGAGCAGCGGGGCCGGCTTTGAGCTGAGGGGGGGCCCTCACAGCCAGAGCCCCCAGCCCCGGCCGACACGGGGGCTCCGGTGTGCCCCCAGCCCTGCCCGCGCCGGCCGTTACCTATCGCCATGAAGATTTCGTTCACATTCATCGCTGTCTTGGCCGACGTCTCCATGAACAGCAAGCTGTTGTCATCTGCGTATATCTGTGCATCCTACGAACGAGCACACTGGGTGGGAAAGGCGCCCTGCCAGGGAGGCCCGAGCAGGCCTCACACACTGCGCTTGAGCCAAACGCTGAAGAAACGCCCCTGCCCAGCCCAGCTGCCCCCCCCCAGCCCAGACAGGACAGCAGGTGACGTGGGGCAGGGCAGCACGGGGCAGCCGGTGTCCGAGCAGCCCCGCCGGGCCCAGCAGCGCAGGCTGTGAGCGCCGCACGCAGACACGGCCCGTCCCGAGCAGCCCCGTACTTTGACCAGCTGGGTGAGGAACACGTGGAAATGCACCACGAGCAGCCCCGTGCAGAGGTCTGAGATAAGAGCTTCTCCTCCAGAGCCTGCCTTAGGCAAGGTAAGAGCTGTGAAGAGTCGAGAACAAGCTGGGAATGATTCTCCACATCTCTTGTATCTAAGAGAGCTGTTTCACACGCTGAGGACAGCCCCAGGTGAGTAAGGAACCAGAAGGGCCTGAAGACAGAAGTCTGAGCTCTGCCGGCCTTATTCTGCACATTCCCCATGAGTTACCTACGAGAGCCATGAGCGCTGCGGAAGGGGCGCGTGGGACAGGCACCTACAACCCACCCAGGGTGGCAGCACAGGTCCCGACTGCCACCCCCCCTCAAAGCCTTGTGCACAGCCGCCGCCTCCCCCACAGAAGCAAAACGCCGCTTTCCTGCCTTGCCCAGGTACCAACGGGTCCGGGTTCCCGCTCACCTGGAAGTCCACAGCTCTCTTGGTGGCCAGGTCTGCCTTGTTTCCCGCTAGTGCAATGACGATGTTGGGGCTCGCCTGCCTCTGCAACTCTTTCACCCAGTTCTTGGCTCGTACGAATGTGTCCTGGAAGGAAAGAGGAGGCAGCGGTCAGGAAGGGGCAGCCTCTTAGTAACCCACAGCGAAGATATGAGTAAAAGCAGCCTTTCCTGTCAGAAGCGCAGCAGGATCCCTTATCAGCTCAGCCAGCCCTGCTCAGGAGGGAGGCGGCGGCCGGGGCGGTTTAGGGCGCCTGGTGCCGCAGCCCGGGCGCTCCCGGGGGCGCCCCGTCCCCGCCAGCCCCCGCGGGTACTCACTGTGTTGGTGATGTCGTACACGACGATGGCGGCCTGGGCGCCCCGGTAGTACATCGGTGCCAGGCTGTGATACCGCTCCTGGCCCGCCGTGTCCCAGATCTCGAACTTGACCGTTGTGTCGTCCAGACAGACTGTCTGCGTCAGGAAGGCGGCTGCAGGAGAAGGGGGGCGGCGTTGCCTCGCATCCCATCGGAGGCTGGAGAGCCCCCACAGCCCTTCTGCCTCACCGGGACCGGCGCTGGGGGGCACCAGGGCCAAAGCAGCCCCGGGGCGCCGCACCCCAGTTTGTAAGTGCCTGTTCTCCCTTCCCCAGTGTAACGCCGCGCGTCGCGGGTAGGAGAGAGGCAGCCGGAACAGCCGAGCGCCCCCCCGGCCCCCTACGGCAGAGCACTAACCCCACTGCCCATAAGCTACACTGAGCTGAACTCGCTCCCTGCCCGGGTTACTCCGGGGACAACCGGAGCCTCTTCCCTGGACACAGGCCCCAGGGCCACCGCCCCGAGAGCCGGGTGCCGGCCGGCCCTTGGCTGGTGACACCGTGCTAATGGTCTCAAGCTGAAGAACTGTTAAACCTGAAAGAGCTGTGCAAGCAGTTAACAGTGCCAGGCTGTTAGAAACAACCCCAAAATCCCCGGTCATGGTCTGAAAAGATAATTAAGGGCTATGAACCAAGCTGAAGGCCTCAGTTCTAATTAGAAGCAGGAATCCAGGCACTGGAAGTGAAGACATCTCAGAGGCAGCGCACACGGTTGCCATAGCATTGTTCGCTGCTGCACTGATCTTCACACCAGCAAACAAGTTGCAAACCAGGAGTTAAAGCATTGGTGGCTTCACTATTTATAGCAAAAGCCCC